TCGAGGAGCCCGGCAGTGCCCGCGCGGCTGGGGGACCCCAGCAGCGCCAAGGCGCCGGCTCCGAGCATCCACTCACCCGCCCGCCCTTGCAGCGGCTCGGCCCTCACCTGGTCGCTACACGGGCGACAGCAGGAGCAGCGGCGGCAGCGCGGCCATGGCGGGCACAGCGCAATCCCGCTCCCCGCCGGCCGCCCGGCCCGGCGCGCTGACACATCAACAAAGATGGCGCCGGCGGGCGGGGCCCCGCGGCGGCGGGGGCGGGATCGGGATCGGGGCAGCCCCGGGCGGGGGGGCCGGCCCTGCCCTGCGGGGGCCGCTGTTCCTCGGGATGGGCTGGGGGCGAACGGGCCATCGCGGCGGCCACCGCGACCAGCAGGTGACGCGGACCCATCTCGTCGCCTTCCCTCGCCCTCGTGCTGCTGCCGCGTTCCCACCCGCGCCACCGAAAGCCCGCGATCCACTGACGGAGCTAGAAGCTGCCAGCGGTTGGATGTAGGACATCGTGCTGCGGTGTTAGTGCGCTCGGCGCCAGGGGACATTTAGGGTGCACATTAGGAAGAATTCCTTCACAGGAAGGGCGATCAGACACCGGAACGGACACCCCAGGGAGGTGGTGGAGTCACCGTCCCTGAGGTGTTTGAGGAAAGCCCGGCCGTGGCACTCAGTGCTCTGGTGGTGTTGGGTCACGGGCGGGACTCGGTGATTTCAGAAGTGTTTTCCAACCTAATCGATTCTGTGATTTCACACAAGACAATTCCAGGCATGCGTCTATAAATTGTTTCAGTCTGGATGGGTTGGTTTTTTTTTTTTTTTCTCTTCCTATTTAAACACGTGTTTCTGTTAACAAGGGATCTCATGTCAGACATCCCATGGCACTGTCTAAACCCACAGCCCTGAGCAGCTGCCTTGCAGGAGGGATTCTTCACCCCAGCAGTTTTCAGAGAGATGGTTACAAAGATGCCTCTCCTTTTTCCAAGATCCAATGCACAATTAATGACAAATAGAATCTTCCACCTTAAGTAAACAGCATCTCATTCTCCATAACCAACCCCTGCACATTATGTCAAAACCTTCTGCACCCACATACCATGCAAGAGTCAATCCAGTAATGTTAATAAACAGCTTCACTTAGCACCTGCTGGGACTTCATTCTGATTGGATTTAAAAAAAAAAAAAGTGAAAATTTTGCTGGGCATCAAAAATCTGGACTGGATTTCACTGCTGGGATCAGCAGTTTTTCAGTGGAACACAAAGCTTTTTGGAATCCAGAGCATGGCATAAATGCCATTTTATTTAATAAAAAAGAAATTGAAAAAATACCTTAGCAGACAATCTGCTAAGTGAAAGCAGTTGTATTTGCTATACCAGCTCAGCTAAAATAAGCATTGGCACCTCTCCTTAAACATAACAATAGAAAAGCAAGTTAAAATTTCTGAATAATTCAGGTTGGAAGGGATCTCAGTAAATTACCTAGTCTAATCCCCTACTCATAGCAAGGCTAACTTTGATGTTAGATCAGACTGTTGCTTTATTTTGGCTAATTTATTTTTATATATGTATAAAAGTATACACATACCTACATGTATAAAAACATCACCTACCCAATGATGCAGTGATGATTTCTTCACTTGGTATCACAGATGACCTTCAAAGTAGAATGTGCTGCATAACTTCACTTACAAACATTAATTGAGAGAGTTATTTCAGAGCAAGTTCTTTTTCTCCATATTCTTTCTAGGCATTTGGAATTTCAGAGCTGCAACTGCAAATTTGGGGGTCCTAGAAAATTCTCCTTAAAACCTGTAGTTTAACCCAGCCAACAAGTAGGCCCCACAAAGCTGCTGGCTTACTCCCCTCTCCAGTTTCAGAATTGGAAGACTCAAACTTGTGGGTTGAGATAAAGACAGTTCAATGTGACAGAAAATAAAATAATAATCATGATAATATATACAAACCCAGTGATACACAATGCAATTTTTCACCACTTACTGACTGATGCCCAGACACTTCCCAAACTGTTCCCTGGTCAGCTATTCCTCAGTTTATGTACTGAGGATGATGCCATTTGGTATGGAATAATCTTTGGCCAGCTGGGATCAGCTGTCCCAGCTGCGTTTCCCCCCCTCTCCCACCCCAGCTTCTTGCTGGCAGGGCATGAGAAGCTGAAAGGTCCTTGACAATAGTGTAAACACTGTTTAGAAAAAACTAAAAACATTCATGTGTTATCAACATTGTTCTAAATCCATCCTAAATCCAAAGCACAGCTCTGTACCAGCTACTAGGAAGAAAATTAACTCTATCCCAGCCGAAACCAGGACAAAACATTTTAACTGATCCTTAAAAAGAACAGTGGAATTGTAGAAAAAAATCAATCTGTATTGGGCTTGGAATAACCTTTCAGTGCCGTAATAACTATAAATCTTTCAGTGTCCATTATTCTGGGAAACCTAATACTGCTTCAGGTAAGCAAGCAATGTCCTAGCCATCACCTCTAAGCAGCAAAGGAGTCAGTCATATATCTTTAAAAACATTAATTTGAAAGCACAAATGGAAGTAGGTTGCAGAGAACACTCATGCCCTCAACTTTAACCTCCAAATAACACTTTAAAGGCAAATGTCTAGCCCTTGATTTGCTTAAATTATACTGTGCATTCCATCTCTCTAAAAATACATAAAAAATCAGGTGTGGAACAGAAATAAGTAAAAATTGTCTTTTTTCAGAAAGCGGTGCCATGCAACACTCACTTGCTAATTGCCATGCAGCACAAGTCTAAGCTTTGCTTTCAGAAAGGGTTCTTTGCCACCACTGCTGCTGTTCTGCAGCTGAGCTGCAAAGTTCATACTGCTGCTCTGTAACACAGTCACTTCAGTGCCCAAATGCTTCTTTTCTTATTTGGTTTTCTAGTTGTTTAAAGACAGAGACATCAGTATACTCTGGCCCTAGTCTTTTTAAGATTTGTGCTTTTACTTTGCTGTACACTTTGTCTGCAGTCCCACTGATGTTACCTGTGTGTGTTTAGTGTGTTCCAACAGACCTGGCAAAATTTAATCTGATTTTTGCCTTTTACTCTGGGCATTTTTTAGAGAAGGATTAAAATCAGGTTAAGAAAATAGAGCCTGGTTAGTGCAGTTCTTCCTTAAAGGCAGAAGAAAAGGACTTTTTTGTACTCAGCTGGACTCCCCATAGCTCTAGTCCCAGAACTGATGCTGAGAGTTCTGACTCTTATAATACCTGTGCTTAAGCCACATTTTCATGTGAAGAGTATATCCCCAGGAGGTGGCCACAGATACTTAGGGAATGATAGTGACAGGTCACAGAGTCCTTCCCCAAACCACTTTTACATGATGTTAAATCAAAATGAATTACTGGACCTCCTAATTAGCCAGCCATAGCTCTTATTTGGCATGTACAAATTCTGAGGAAAACAATTCCTGAGTGAGAGAACTTGCCATCTGAAAGACAGGCAGTCCTACACAACAGACTTGTCTGCTGCAGACAAGCTCTGCATTGCAGAGGCAGAAGCAGAATTTGGCCCACATATTCAAAAGGTTGTAGTTCTGGCTTTTGGCTTATGCTTTATTATATAAGAAAAAGGAAAGGAAATGTTCATCTGATTGCTCATGTTTTAGATGACATTTGTTAATTATCCAGAGTATTTCTATAGCTTTGCCCTCTGAAAGGGCTTACAAAGCTATTTTTTCTCCTTCAGCTAAAGTGTTAGCAACTCCACTTTAAGGGAGAACAATGAGGTGGCTCAAACAGCAGATGTGCTGAGTGATACCCCACACTCCTCTGAGACCACTGGTGTCAAAGGACCAAAGGAGTAAAATGTTTCACATAAGAATAAACAGCCATTGCAATAATCTCCCCAAAGAAATGGTGGATTCCCAATGCTGGACAATTTTAAGATTCAGCTGGACAGGGTGCTGGATCATCTTGTCTAGATGTTTTAAGCTATAAAGAAAGCCTAATTTTTTTTTTTTTTTTTGAGAGAGTTTTGAATGACAGAGAAGTATTTCTTAGTGCCTACCTGGTATTAGTTCTTCTTAGGCATGAGGATTACTGGGCTAATTTTGGGGACAGAGGAACAAGAGGCAAGGAGATGATGAAGGCTGTGTGACCATGATCACCCTGTCTCCCCACAATCTCCCACATAAAGGTGTGTGCCTACTCTGATATGCAATACTGAACAATTTGCCATGTGGGTTTCTTGAAATCCCACCAATTCCTACCTAGTTTTCCTTCTTGTTGTAAGGGCAGCCTCTGATCCACTCAGCTTTGCTCAGGCTGGAGGTTCATGTGAGCCAGGAAGAGTCTTTCCTCTGACTTTATTAGGTGGTATCTTAACCACTGAGAGAAAAACTCAGCAGCCCTCAGATGTGTTGTTCACTTCTTTTGAGAATGCTTAGTTTGGCAGACAGGATCCTAGACTTAAATACAAATAATTTAGACTGAAACGCTGTCACAGCCAGATGCCAAATGACTTAAGGCAAAATAGCTATGCTTCAGCTACTTCTCTGTGAACAGAGATAATTATTCCCTGCTGTACAGAACATGTAACAATAAAATCCATCACTGATTTTATACACGTTAATAATAAGTACAACAATATAGGCACTAAAATAGATCAGATTAATTTATTTTTTGGTGAAAGCTTAATTGCACAGCACTGAGAACACCTGAGATCATGTCTGAGTAGTAGCATAAAACTGCAGCAGTCTTGAGGATGAAGTATATTTTCCCATGAAGATGGGAGACAAAAGTTGAAGAAAAGGGGAAAACACCTTGTATAGAAAAGAAAGAGGAAAAAGGACAAAGGGAAATGAGAATAGGTTAGAAATGGGAAATGAAGTGATTTATGTTCTTGGCTGCAGGGCGAAATTCAAATACTTTAAAATACAAATGCATCAATTTTATGTATCAAATTTCAGCTTTTTGCATAGCTCTCCCAGCCATTTTCTGAATTTGTATCAAATAAATTGGGGTTACTGGTTCAACCATGAGTAATTCACAAAGATGCTCAGAGGCCTGGAGCACCTCTGCTATGAGGTCAGGCTGGGAACTGGAGCTGTTCATCCTGCAGGAGTCTCAGGGGAGACCTCAGAGCACCTTCCAGAACCTAAAGGTACAAGAGAGCTGAAGAGGGACTTTTTACAAGGGCACTTAGTGACTGCACATGGGGGAATGGCTTCAAACTGACAGAGAATGGGTTTACATTAGATGTTGGGAAGAAATCCTTCGCTGTGCGGGTAGTGAGGCCCTGACACAAGATTACCTAGAGAAGGTGTGGATGCCCCATCCCTGGAAGTGTTCAAGGCCAGGTCAGGGCTTGGAATAACCCGGTCCAGTACAAGGCACCGCAGGCCGCCCCTCCCCGGCCGCGATGGCGGCACCGCGGGCGGCCGGGCAGCAGCACAGGCCCCGCTCCGCCCCTGGGCACCGGGGTCCCACCTGGGCGGGGCGGAATGAGCGGCTCGGGCCCGCCGGGACCGCCTGCAGACGTCGCTGGCCTGCGGGGGCCGCTGCTTCTCATCTTCCCGCTGGCGGTCCTCGAGTGAGCGCCCGGCCCTGCTTCCCGCGTGGGGCAGCGCCGACGGCGAGGCGGCGGCCCGGGGTGAGCGCCGCTCCGAGGGGCGGCAGGGGCCGGGGGCGGCCCGGGGTGAGCGCTGCTTTCGGGGGAGAGAGGGGCAGGGGCGGCCCGGGGTGAGCGCTGCTCCGAGGGGCGGCCCGGGATGAGCGCTCCTCTGGGGAGAGAGAGGGGCAGGGGCGGCCCGGGGTGAGCGCTGCTTTCGGGGGAGAGAGGGGCAGGGGGTGGGAGCTTCGCTTTCCCCCGGGAAAGGAGCCGGGGGCGGCCCGGGGTGAGCGCTTTGCTGAGGGGAGAGAGGGCCGCAGGTGGCGGGGCTGGCTGCGAGCTTGGGTGCAGGCCGTAGGACGGGGCTATCTAATTTTATTATGATTACTTAAAATCGGTTAATTTTAATCACTTAAAAATCACTTTAGAATCACTTAATTTTAATAGCACTTATTTAATTGCAGTTGTTGAAAGCACTTTTCTGGTGGAGTTGGTGTGCAGTGTCACTTAGACTACTGTGCTTTATTCGCAGGTTCGTTTTAGTTTGTTTTTGCCTATACTTTTAATTTAAAACAATTATAGTGCATCTTAGCATTAGGAAAGCAGGTGCCGAAAATGCATTTCGGCAGAGCCCAGGGCTTTGCTTCCCCTCAGCAGCCGCTGTTGGGGCAGTGGTTTCCCCTCAGGGCATGAGGAACCCAGGAGTGCAGCCCGTGCTTTTTTATTACTACAAACTTTTTTAACAAAAGTACAGAGAGGTCTCTTCCAGAGACACAGTGAGCTTCACATGCAGGTGTTGATGGCTGCTCCTATTTGTCAGTGTGTTCCTCTTCTAAAGGAGTTTTCTTCATTTAATCTGCAGTATTCATTGTTGAGTTCTTTAGTGCAGAAAATGGTTTGCTGTGCAAACAAAAGAAATAGATGGTAGAGAATTATCCTTCCAAAATGAATGCTTAAATAAATCTTAAGAATATGACCCAAAAATACTTTAATTTGTGTGCCTGCCTGAATTAATCTTTAAACCCATGCTTTTGCAGTTACCTGGCCCACAGCCACCTTTGGTCATACTCTAATGTCAACCTTTACGTGATGCCAGAACCACATAATCTTCAACATAACAAAGTTGCAGATGCAGATTTAAGCAACAGGGTCACAGGTACAAACTTACTGTTGAAAAACTTTCAGTTTTGAGGCTGAGTTTCTGAAATATTTAACAAAATCCAATATTTTGTAAGCAAACAATACAGGGTACTTTTGACAAATGTAGAAAGAGTACAGAAAGTTTTAACAACAGCACAAGTGCAGTAAGAGAGACTTTGTCCTAAGCTTGACAGAGGTATCTTGACTTTATTCTTCTGTGGTTGTGTATATGCTTTATTATTGATACACATCATCAGTATGAGTATGGCTTGTAAATATAACTCCTAATTATCCAAACTTGTGCCTGCTGAAATGCCTCAGAATCTAAAAAACCCGCCAGGATAATTGATGTGTTAGAGAATTTGGACCAATATATGGGAGTTGCAGTTCCTTCAGCAATTCTTCTTGCCTCTTAAGTACCTTGCTACTGTCTGATCCATGTTCTCTTACTCCAAGTTGGGGAGAGGGAAAGGCTTCATTTTGGGACATCTGAACTAGCTTTATGTGCAAACATATTGGGTCGGGAGAGTTCATGAAATTTGATTTTGTGTTAGGCAAGAGTTTTAGTTCAGGCAGAGTTTACAAGATTTACTTGCTTCCAGGTGGGAAAAAAGGCCATGAAAGCTTTATATTGTCTCAGTGGAGACCTTGGACAGGCCTGCCAGACTGGAACAAGATTTGAGTGGTATATGTAGCCTAGACCAGAAACAAATTCTTTGTAGGTGGATGAGTTGCCCACTTATCAAAACAGAGTTCCTGCTATATTGATATGCAGGCTTAGCTGAATATCTTCTAAGAGTTGTTTGGTAAAGAAAAACTCACAGGAAAGACCACAAGGTTTATAAGGCACTCACTGGAAAGTCAGAGTATCTTGTTTCAGAGTGTTTTGTTTCTCAGTATTGAGTGATAAGCACAGAAGGTGAAAGTGTTGTTTTAATAATACCACTGATTGCATGATTGAGTAAATGTGGTATCAGAATGAAAACAAGTGACTTCCAGAGTGTGTCAAGGTCCAAGCATCTCCATTCCCTCAAATGGGCTGGCAGAATAGTAGGAGTAGCCAAGGGCCTTGTTTCTTCCTGCAAATATTCCATAACATAGGCATGTGTTAGTGTTGTTAATCAGATCCCTTTGCAAATACTTCTGCTTCTAGGAAGTTCTATGGAAGACAAAACTGGTAGAGAGAACTGCATAGCTGCAGCTGATAAAGAAAATACTGTGAGTTATTTCACTTTATAGTTGCCCCAAGTATTCTGAGCATTTCTAGGTAGCAGGAGTTATCAGCATGTATTTCTCTTCCTAGAACTTAAAAGTTTTGTCTCCTTTTGTTGTTATGTTTTTGTATATTAGAATATTTCTACCCTAATGGGCAGGCTTTTTCCAGTAAGAATGACTTGAGGTTTTTCTTCCACAGGTGTCACATTCTAATTGGATTAATGGGAAGCCAAAGAAATTGCAATGTTCCTCTAAGAGTGCTTTTTCTATTTGCTATGATAAGAGTTTCTTGAGTTTGTTAGTACCACCCCCTAAAGGGGGCACTTGCCATCGTTGTGGTCTGTTTGGTAAGTGCCTGCTGTCCTGTGACATACAGTACATGTATCAGTGCAACCAGACCAGGTTTGCTCAATATGTCTTTAAATGGATGAATATTTTTAACTCTCAGACACAAGTATATTCTATTCAGAACATAGTTGGAGTAACAGAACTGACAAGCAGAAGAGAGCATTTCTTTATCAAAAGTGGTGGGTTTTTTTCCCTTAAATGTAGAAGGAATTTGACAGCAATCTCTGATAGCTGTATGTCAACACAAATACCTATTTGTATGTGCTTAGAATTGCAGGGGAGTTGTTTTGTAGAGCAGTTATTTAAACAGTTGTTGTTCCTTCCAATACGTGTTTTGCTCAGACTTCTCTTGTATTTTTTTTGTTTGTTTGTTTGTTTGTTTTAGGAAAGCTCAGATGCTCACAGTGTCTGCAAACATACTATTGCTCTGCAGACTGTCAGAAAAAAGACTGGCCAGCACACAGAGTAGTTTGTGATCCCCTTAAACAGAAGTAAGTTTGTAAAAGTTCTGCCAAATAATCTTCACAGAAAGACAATCTCTCCCACTACAACAAAAATGACCATGGGAAGACACTAGTACAGTAAAATATGTTGCTTATTCTTAAGCTAGTACTGCATTATCTTATGCCTGTCATTATTACATATTACCAGATTTGTAATTCTAATGCATTTTAGTGGATGAGGAATAAAGGTTGGCAAAAATCACATGCTATGAACACAGCTTTTTATCTATTTGCAAGTAGATTGTATTATTAATGCTACTTGTCAGTCTTTGGTTCTTCAAACTGACATATTTTTCTTTGATTACAGTTTAAGTCATAGCAAAACCAAGACAGGAGTTTATCTTAAGGTATGTCATGCAATTTTGACTATGTCTTGACTGGATCTGCTGTGCTCATATGATCTCAGCTCAAAGGAAGGCACTGTTCACTAACTGGTGTGATATATTGCAGGAGGAAGTGAGGTTGAGTTTTGCTGTAGATGTTGTACTTCCAGATTCTGGTGAGTGCTGGGTTGTGTGGGTAAAATAACTGACCATAATTAAGGCTTTTATGTTCACACCCCTCCCTAACACGTGTGAAAGATAACACCTGTTTTTTTTCTTTTGCCCTCCTCCCTCTTGCTGCTTTCCCAACCTCTCCCTTGACTTCTTTTTTTTTTTTCAATTCTACTTTTTCACCTTTCCATAAAATGTCAGTGCCTGAAATACCTTGCTAAGCTTAATAACCTTAAATTTTAGTAAGGTTACTTTTCCAATAGAATTGTATTAACTTCAGTGTGTTCTGGATCATCTTGTTTATTTTTCTGTTTTAATAGATGCATGAAAATTTGGTACTATTTTGTTTCTTTCTCATACATTCTTAACTCTTTAAAAATTAGTGTCAATTTCTAGTTCCATGTAGGATTTTACCAGCTTTCATTATATTTTGTACATGCTCACTAAGTATTCCAAAGAAAGAACAGTCATTGGATATTGCTGTATCCAGCTGGAGAACTCTATAAGCACGTTTATATTTCTAACTTAGCAAGCTTCAGTGAGAGCCAAGCCAAGCACAAGAGCTTTGAAGAGTCAGAATGCAGATTTTCAGTTGAGCTGGGTTTGGCTGTCAAAGCAGATCAGTACATGCAAGGTGTACCTTTTGTCACCTTTTGTGGAAGACTGTTGTTTACATTTTCCTCTGGCTGCAGACAGAACGATGGAGTGCCAAGACCACATTCATTTAATTGATCTGCAGCCCACAGAACATGCAGGGATGAGGTGGTTGATGCTCCTAGCTTGCTAAACTTGCCCATGTGCAGGAAGCTTATCTCCATGTAATACTGTGCAGTCTCTCAAAGGATGGTTCACTTTAGTCCCCTGGAAATTCAACTGATTAAGGATTGTGCTGGGCATAGTTCACATTTGGTTGCTTCACAGCACACTAGTGGTGAAGTGATGTGTAACCTGCTAACCTTTTGGAGAGAAGATTACATAAATGTCACTGCATTCTTGAAATGTCCCATGCATTTATTCCAGACTTTATAAGCAGCTGAAACACCTGTATTGAGGTTTTAATTTGAAAATAATGGTATTGAAAGTTTGGAATGCTGCTTCATGCATTCAGCTGAGAAACCAAGATTTACAAAGACATCTTGACTAAATCATTACATACCCATTGTTGTAAATAATGAAGTAAGTTATGAATCCTCGTGTCTAAAAAGCAATAATCAGTTTTTCAGCTCACAGTCTTTAGTGACTGCAAGTAAATGTTGGTTATTACTGCTTCTCTCATTTTATGAAGTCAGACAGTCTTGGAGCTGTGAATGTGCTCAGAAAACTCAAGTAGTTGAGCTACTCTGAAATTACCTTTGTTTTGCATTTTAAACATTAAGTGCTGAACAAATAAGTAGAACATGCTCACCTTGTGATAGGAATATAGATCTGGCTCAGAGGATGGTTCTGAAGGGAAACTAGCTGATGGCTATTTTGTGTGATAAATCATTTATTCTTGATCTATATTTTAGAAGACTGCCTAAATAAAGTTCCCTTAGAAATGAAGTCTCATTTAACTTCAGGAAGTGATGCCAAAGTAGACTCTCCAAGAGGTAAGCAAGCAAACCAAACTAAACTTGGGAATTTTAGCTCCTCCTGTACTGCATGATGTTCTAGCTGCTCACTAGCATCACCTCAAAGTTAAAAATGTTGGCTAATGGAGCTTCAGGTCACTGCTGACATTAGCTCATAGACATTTTAATAGTATAAAACATTTGTATAGTGATTATTATGTGAGCATTAATTTCATAATATGACAGGAGCCTTCCAAGTCCAAAGCATCAATAAAAATAATAAACTATATCAGTATGTTTATATTTTCAAAGTCAGGTAGCTTTTGATTGGCAACCTTTTTTCTTTTTTATGTGCAGTATCAGAAAACCATTCAAAGGGAGGTGAAAAAAAAATACCTGAAGATGAAGACTCTTCTTACAGTGTTAATTCAATTACCAAGTTTGTCTCTTTAAGTATTGGAGAAGAATTTTCTGGTGTGGTTTCTCACATTCAAAGTCCAGACACCTTTTTTTGTCAGCGGATGCAAAGTGCCCGTAAGTGATGGGTTGGAAGTGGGATGTAGAAGGCCTGGTATGGCATTTTTCTCTTTGGTAGGGAGTGGCTGGAAGAAGGTGAATGTTTCTTCTGTGTCTATGTGCAGCCTTTTAATTCTGGGTGACCTGTACTCTGTCCTATGGGAAGAAGTGGCCTACCTCCTCATCTGCCTGTTGTTGGAAGAGCTGTCTTCCTTGGTTTCTTCTTGGCATGCCTCCACTAGCTTGTTTGTAATTTGCACTGGCTTCAGCTTTGTCCCTTTGCTGAAAAATCCATCCCTGGTTTTCCCTGTCTGTTCACTGCTGCTGTGATTCCTCAGACACACATGAGGACTCTCTTGGATGTTAATGATTGAAGAGCCCTACTCTGATCAATGTTAAACATTTGAAATTATCTCCATTAGACTATAAGATGTTCTTCCAGGCTTTGAGCTTAATTATTCTCTAATAATTGCAAGACAGGCTATGTTCCAAAACCTGTGTATTTTAACATCAGGTCAACTTGCTGAGCTTGAAGCATCCCTTAATGAATACTGTGGCAAAATTCCCAGTACTGCATCTTTCCGTCCTGCTGCTGGCAATGTGTGCTGTGCCCAGTTCACAGGTAAAAATGGACTGAAAATACTAAGTTATGTCGCTTAAATTTCTTACCCAAAAGATACATTTTGTAATTATGTTTAGAAATGTTTTATATAGAGTTTATTTATCTCTGATTTTTAGCTGTGGGTAATGCTAGGTAGTGATTTGAAAAATTGTATCTGTAAAGTACCAATTTTAAAATGTCCCTTTATTGAGAAAACTCTTAACATTGGATTCAGATTATTTAGAATAGTTTATTAAGAGATCATGGAAAGTTTGTGGGTTTTTATGTTGTTAAGTACTGTTTCCCCAGGACTGGAAATAAGTATATCTTTGAAATTTCAATCCCCAAAAGAAGCACAGAAGAAATGGGATTATATGGAATGCTGCTGCTCTGTCCTTCTCGAAATACTACTGTAGCCAACACTTGGTAGTCCTGAGCTGTACTGAGATGGATGTATTTTTATATTGGTCTGTCAAAAACCAAATCATTCTGCTCTCAGATATTACATTTCTCTTCCTTTCTAGAAGACAACCTTTGGTATCGTGCTGCTGTTACAGCTTATGCTTCTGAAGACACTGTTTTGGTGGACTATATGGATTATGGTAATTCCGACTCTCTTCCACTGACCAGACTTCGACCTATAATTCCAAGCTTGATGGACTTGCCAGCTCAAGCCATAAGATGTAGCCTGGCAGGTATGAAGTAAATGATTAGCAGTTTCAAACTAGACAGGGGGAGAACAAGTGCTATTACATAACTACCACACCTGTAGTATCTCACATTGAAACATGGGGAAGGATGGAGGTGATGGTAGGCATTATTTCCAGAATTCTTAACTGTCATGGCATATCTACAAAATGTGACAGGTATTTCTGAATGTACTTGCAGTTGCTGTACCTGTCCACACATTGGTGAGAGTTGGACTGACCTCAGAACCTTTCCATATTATGTGACTTTTTAGGTGTAAACCCACCCTTCGGAGCATGGACCTCCGAAGGTACTTGCTACATGAAAAGACTGGTGAAAGACAAAGTGTTGACAGTAAAAGTAGTGGATAAAGAGAGTTCTAAATCCGTGGTGGAGCTTACAGATGCCTCAGGTACTGCAGTAATAAATGTATCAAGCCTTCTCCTTGAGGAAGGCTTTGCAGCTGAGGAGCTGAGCATGGCCTTACCAGCAGCCAGAGGGAGTGATGTTGAGCAAGCCAAGGGTGAGTATGAACATGTCTTGCTGCCCTGGCATTGTTCACCTCTTCTAGAGTGGGTACAGAGAATGCAAGCTCTTATCTCTGAGAGCTTTTCAGCCTGGCTCATCAAGTCCAGCCCTCACAAGTCCAAAGTTTATCCATAGCAACTTAACTGTAAAGAATTGTGTGTTTGTGTGTGTGTCCAAGTGTGCACTCTTAACAAAATTGTTATTGCCTGCTTTTGGAAGTTGGTACTTTACTCTTGTTAGAAGTCTTGCAGTTTCCAGTTGAAGTAGGTTATGGCTGGTTATTACCTAGTTATTCCTACATCCTTATCCATTAGTGCAAATAATGTTTGCTCTATTGTCATCTTCATTGTCCTATATTTTACACATAGACCACATACTTAGTCCTTGAAAATTTGACTGTAGTAGCTTATAAAGCTTCAAGTTTATGCTTAAATTGTCTTGTTTGAATTTAGTGACCAAAGCTTCAATCCAAGAGATTTTTGCTGAAGTTACATTAAATTTCTTTGAAATCTTGGGGAAGATTCCTGGCTTCTCTCTTATGAAGCATGCTAAGTTCCTTTTTTTCCCATCCTCTGTCTGGCAAACATATGTATTCTCTTCCGATCCATTGGTACGGAAAACTTTTTGTCAAGTCTCTGTTCAAGTAATTTTGATCTTTCTCATTAGAGGCCTTGTAGCCAGGACACAATTATTCCTTGTCTTTGTTCAGAAGAGTAAGGAATCTTACAAAAAATTAGAATAAACAGTAACTTCCTGGCTATATCTAAACACATTTTGGTCTGTGTCCCTCATCAAGGGCCTGTTTTGTACTTCCTTGGTTTATTGGTTACCTCTCACCTTTTTGTCATTTCCATCACTGAGCCAGAGCTGTTGAATGCAGGTTTTAAACAGAGTGTGTTCTCCAGTGCCATGATTTAGTGTTCCCATGATGTAGTCTACGACTTGTGTGAAATAATAAGTTTCTTTCAGGTACCTGAGTATAATATCCACTGCAAATTTCTGCCACCAGTCTTTCTAGTAGTCTTTTTTGCTCTTCCTCCTCAGATTGTTTCCAGTAGTCTTGGTGATGGATGTTTCCCTTTTCTATGCTCCCTACCCTGTTTCCAGGAACCAAAGTTCCCCAGTGCCCCTCTTGCCCAGGCTGTTGCCTGCTAGCCTTTACTTCTGTATGTAATTACTCTTCCCTGCTATCTATGGCTTGCTCTTTTGGATAATGAAGAATTACATTAAAGAACTGGCATATTTCTCTTGGTTTTACTCTGCAAAGAGGCTCTCACTGGTAATTAGTCTGTTGGACAGTTTATAACAAGAAATTCAAGGATGTGAATGAGCATTTGGGATGGGGTTTTTTTCCCTGTAAAAGTTACTTTAATTTCTTTTCATTCTGTGCTTTTTTCTGTCCTCTCTAGAGGACACAACGAACAAAAGAATGTGCAAGTGGATTAAATTAACTCTTAACCAAACACTCAGTGTCATAGTGTGTACAGTGTACAATCCTGGAGAATTCTACTGTCAGATTTCAAACAGCCATGGTAAGTTTATTCAGCTTAATTCTTTCTGGTAGTTTCTTTGCTTCCTAGTTTGTCATTTATTATAGGTCTAATGAACTACTGTGTCAAGTAAGCTTACAGCACAAAGCTCTGAGGTTTAAATCTAAGAATACAAATGGGGTGACCAAGAAATTGGATCGTGATACTGAAATCTGAAAATGTTGAAGATAAGCAGTAGAGGAAGTGAAAGAGTTACCATAACCTACCCAAAGGATAACTTAATTTTTTTTTCCGCTGGAATAGTGGCCAGGCATGGAATAAGTTGTTGAGGAAGGTGGTAGAGTCATTGTCTCTGGAAGTGTGCAAGAGGCATCTGGATGTGGTACTTGGGGTGACTGTGGTGCTGCTGGGTTGATGGTTGCACTAAATGATCTTGAAGGGTCTTTTTCACCCTTCATGATTTAGTGATTCTGGTAATAAAAGCAAGCAAGAGACAAGTTCCCTGTGCCAAGACAGTATTTACAGGAGCTCTTTTCTAGTCCACTCTCATAATTTATAAAAACTTAAAGACATATAATAATTGTAACAGAAAAATGAGAAAATGCAGCTATTGGGATGTTACTTCCTGTTGGATTAGTTAAAAAGTAATCTTGTTTCTCTATCAGAAGTCTGTATAAAGATAGTCATTGGCATTTTAAATGCTAGAAAAAGAATGTGACACAATTCAGTGGCTGAAGAGGGAGCTAAAGGCATTCAAACAAAAAATATGGGGCAGCTCTTAAAAAGTGAGGGGTGTTTGTTCCTTTGCTTATGTAGTCAAGGAGTACCTTTGAAGATTTATGAGTAAACTGTAGAGTGAACAGCATTGATAAAGTTCAGGTCAGCTCATTTCATTGATCTCATCTTTGTTTTTTTTCTAATTTTCAGAGTTACTTGCTCTAAACTCACTTAACAAAACATTGTCTGAATACTGTCAGAAAACACCACCAGATGTTTTTGAGCCTGAGAATGGAGACCCTTGCTGTGCTTTTTACTCTGGCAAGTAACAGACTAAAATAGTTATGTGTTTATAGGGTGAACATGAAAAATCAGCTGACAGTTCACATTAGTAGAGAACAGCAGAGAATTGTATTTCTTTACTAACAAGTGAAAGCTGGTAGACTTAGCAAATGTGTGAAGTAATTATTAATTTTTTTTAATCTTTGAATTAGAGGATGGTAACTGGTACCGTGCTGTGGTGCAAAATGTCACTTCAGATGGAAGTGTTCGAGTGAGCTTTGTGGACTATGGGAACACTGAGCACGTACCACGGGATAACATCCGACAGATCTCGTCCTCTTTCCTAAAACTTCCATTTCAAGCAATTAAATGCTGGCTCTCAGGTGAATCTTATTTTCTCTTACAAGAGCTCTTGCATTTAGAAACTTGCTGCTTTGGGGGAAGGAGGTGATGACAGGGAATGCTGTGCAGAACTCTGTTCTTTTGGGTTTCTTTGTTTGCTTTCTCTTCTCCGAGCAATTCTCTGGAATGATCTGCATGGACTTTGCTTACTGCTTTACTGCTCAAAAGGGAGCTTGTTCAGTTTGCTTCAACTGTAATGCTTACTGCTTTTTGGTTGTTGCCTTCCTAGGAGTAAAAGTGCTTTTGTGCAACTTTATTTCTCAAAGCTTTTGCAGGCAATAGAGCTGATGTGTTTTAGTGAAGCTAGTTGGCCTTTCAGTTCTCTTTCATTTGACTCCTGAAGAGTTTGGCACTGTATTGCTGTTTCTCAGTGTTTTGCAAATTCCTTTTCCACAGCAATCAAAATTCTGCAGAACTTCTCTTTCTTTCTGGTGTAGCCTGCTTGGTTTAAAAATGAAAAACGTGGAAACAGGAAAAAGCTCAAAACCTCATTTTGTTCAAGTGTCTTGTGCTGTTCCCCTGCCCACCCACCCTTAAAACACTTAGGTTTTGTCTGCTCCTTTGATAAAAAGGCCTGATTATACTGATCCAAAACCAGTTTTAATAATGTTGTTTGTGCTCAGGCAAAGGATTTACTTGGCTGAATCATTAAATATAGAAGATAAAACTTGGGAGTCCTGAGAAAATGTGGACATTTAGATAAAAGGAGGAAGAGGGAGAGCAGTTAACAAGAGCAGTTAGGTTTTGTCTGCTCCTTTGATAAAAAGGCCTGATTATACTGATCCAAAACCAGTTTTAATAATGTTGTTTGTGCTCAGGCAAAGGATTTACTTGGCTGAATCATTAAATATAGAAGATAAAACTTGGGAGTCCTGAGAAAATGTGGACATTTAGATAAAAGGAGGAAGAGGGAGAGCAGTTAACAGGATGAAAGACAATGTGTTGCCCTAGGGTAGTAAAAGTAGTCTTGATATTTCAGGGTATGCTCTAAAGAAAATTTTTAAAGTATTTTTAAATGAAATTATAATGTTGAGGAAAGTCAATATTAATGAATGAAGATATTTTAGCAGTTTCTTACTTCCCAGGTATAAAGCCTGGAAACAGCAAGTGGAATCCAGAAGCTACAAGAAGATTTCATATGTACACTTCAGGCTTAGAGCTTCAAGCCACAGTAACTTCCCTTTCTGAGGATGGGGCAGGTGTAGTGCTTACTGATAATTCCACAGATTGTCCAACAATTATCAATGAGATACTAACTTCAGAAAAACTGGTTGTAAAGGAAGTTCTACAAGATAAAAATGACTTTCCAAACACATCTGTTGACCAGAAAGGTAATTAAAGGAATGTTATTTTTTAGATTTAACAAGAATTTTCAGTATTCCAGCCTTTAACTGTTATTTTCTTGTTTCACTACAATTAATATCAATGCATAGTTTTAGGTATATTGTCAGTTCTTACAGCTGAACACCAACTGCCCTGCAGGTGGCATTACAGACAAAAAAAGAAAGTTAAAAATCTGTGTGTCTTAAATGAATGTTGTTTGACTCTGTGGGAATCAGAGAATTAGGAATTTTCTATGACTAAAACTTTTCTCATGTTTGCTTTTCAAGGTCTTCTTTTCTTTTTTCTGAGCTGTTTTTTACTTTAGCTACTTTTATATGCCAACAGTTCATGAACAGCAAAATAAGCCTTATTTATCTTGATTTAGATTTGTCTTCCTGAAGGGAAGGCATGTAGTTGTGTCTGAAATTCAAAAAATTATTATAAATATCAAATAAAATAACAGTTCCTTAATATATATGTATGTTTGGAGGACAGTGGTAACACTGCATTTTCTTACCATTTCTGTTAGCAGCCTCAGTTGGGCACTGGAAGTCAATTGAATTGGCTGTAGATGAAACCATGTCTGTCTGTGTAACTGAAGTTGTAAGCCCAGACTTGTTCTATGCTGTACCATTTCCAAATAAAGGTAAGAAAAAGTGTTCATTGTTCCTAATACCAGTAAGAAGTCACTGTTGCAAGCTAGTTAATAAAATTGTGTGTAGTGAACTGAACCATGTAGAAATGTATCTTGGACAGTAGGAAAGTATAAAAATGTCAAAGACGGGAGCAGGGGCTTCAGTATGCTCTTCACTGTACCCAGATGTGGTTAGTGAATGTGGGCTTTTTCCTGTAGGTCAAAAGAAGCTCTTTAAGGAGCTGGTTTCACTGGAAGACTATTGTAGATCTTGCAACAAGCAGCCCTTCCAGCCAAAACTGGGTGAAGCCTGTTGTGCTCAGTTTTCAGGTGAGACAATCGTTTGTTCTTCCATTTCCTTGGCCAGTGTAAAACACAGCTTTCATTTTTGCTGTAGACAAAGGAAAAACACCAACTTGAAAGTGCTTATGGATCTCTTAATTGTGCTTCTTGTCAATTGGCCTCTAATATATCTACCACAGTATTTAAAAATTCTTTAAAAACTTTACAGTTTCTTGTTCTTGGGATAAACTGTGTTTATAAGATGATTCTTCACACGTGACCATTCTTGTCCCAATCTTTTCAGGTAATGGCAATTGGTACAGAGCTGTTGTTCTGGAAGCTTCCCAGTCTGCAGTGAAAGTTCTGTATGGAGACTATGGCAACACAGAAACTTTACCCCTTTCAAAGGTGCTGCCAATCACTGATTCCTATTTAAAGCTGCCTTTTCAGACTATTACATGTTCACTTGCAGGTAAGAAAACCACCCCAAAATAAGCAAAAAAACCACACCCCAAAAACCTCTGACTGGTTTTTGTGAACATTATCATTTTTTACCTGTTCTGGAAGTAGTGTTCATTCCTTAATACTGGTAAACAACATGACAATCTTCTGAAATAGTATATTGGTAAGCACAGTAAAAGCTGGTTTAGAAAGCATGGTTTTAGTTCATTATCTCTAGAATTTCAGCTATTTATATTAGGAAAATTTAGCATCATATTTTCCAAAGCATATATGTATGATTCAAGTTATATTTTAAAGGAATTATTTATATAACAGACTTGATTTTCCTTTTTCCACAGGAATAGAGAAAGCTGAGTGGTCTCCATTAGTGCTTGACACGTTGAAAAAACTGTTATTGAAGCAACATGTCACAATTACAGTGAAAGGGATTAATGGAAATGTTAATTTAGTAACAGTGGAGAAGCACTTGGACAATGGTTATGTGAATGTAGCTGACAAACTGCTAAAGGAGGGTTTGGTCACATCCTGCAGTGCTGAAAACTCACACAGTGAACATCAAGGTACATACTTTGGCTTGATTACTTCAGTTTGCTTATTCTGAAGAGCTTGTAAGCGCATGGGGTGGCTAAATGACTTTTCCTTCTAAAAATCTTGGACAATGCCACATGTCACCTCTTAAATTAGAGAAGGAATGTGTATGTGTGTATTTTGCTCATTCACTCTGGTTTTTGTAGGTAATGAAGGTGAGATCAGCTGCTGCTGCAAAGAATTAAAAGTGCAAGTAAGATTTACTCCAAGCAATACTTACTTTTTTATGTTTCCAGAATTCAAAAGAAACCCTGTGTAGGAAGCAAATGGGAGTAGGGGGAATAATAGCTACTGAAACATGGGAGTTTAGTGAAATGTATCCTGACACTTGTTCTCAGGTTTTTTATATATGGTAATAATAAGAGCACCCTGAAGCTGAGGGAGGATGGTGTTTAGAGCACACAGACTTCATTAGGCTGTACTTTGCCCCACAGACAGCTCTTACTTCATTTTTCAAGTGTTTGAAGTCTCAGGAGTGGCACTTTTCTCTGTTACCCAATTTAAGATGGTGATCTCAATCTTAATTTGAGTATTTAATCAATTTGGTTTGAGGAAGCTGCTTCAGGGAAAAAAACAGGGGGAGGGACATATACATGGACAAGGGGAAGTCAGCTACAGTTCTGTTGGCTTTTTCCCCTTCCAGAAGACTTTACAACAGAAAGGAACTAAATCTATTTATTGAATTAATATGGTATTTAGCTGAGTTTGTCCATTAGCATCTACCCTGATCTGTAATCAGCAATTAAAAAACTCCCAGAATTGTATACTTCTAACTCTTTCTGCTTATTCCACAGCTTGAAAAGCATAAACAAGTCCTACTCTTCCTTTTAAACAAGTTTGGGAATCCAGACGGATTCATTGATATGAAAAATCTGTTGAACCACTAAGTCTCTGACATGCACCATTTCATTTTTGTGTCCACCAAGTTGCTGCAGTTCCTTTTTTAGAAGATCAAGAGCATCAGCTTAAAAAATGAGGGTCACTTTGTAGAAACTGTGCTAAGTACCTGCATTTATCTGTATGCTTGGTTGTTACTGTGACACAAGTATGTAACTTGGAGGATTGCAAACCTGCAAGCTAAAATTTCTGTTCTGTTCTTGTTTTATGCCACCATGTGCTACTAAACATTTTGCTTGTATTTTCTTGTTGAATGCACAGAAGTTTATGGGATGGCCATTACATTGTGAGTCTGTTCTGCAGACTTGCATTTGGAATGATTGTAATTGTAAGGCTCACTTAACTTTGGTACCATTTATATCACTTGAAAAACTCTGTATCTTCTTTAATTACTGGTATTTCAGCCTAATTTCTGGTCTGAAGTTAGACCACCATTTTTCTTCATAACCTTGATTTCAGTATCATTAAACGTTGTATGTTGTCTTGGACTGCATACAGATAGTTCTCTCTAAAATCAGTAAACACTTTAATGTGCACAGTTCTTTTTTTACACTTATGCTGTATAATATGCATCTGTGAGTGTTATTTTGAAGTGAATTGTATTGAAGCTGTTTTTTGTGTAGCTACATCATCAGGATTTCCACCCCATCAAGTTTTCACATCATAATAAAAAAGACCTAGTCTCAGCTATGACAAAAATACTGAATCAAATTGTTAAGAGATTATCAGTATTTTAGTATTAAGAGATTAGCAGTCATTTCTGACTAATTCAGGAATGTCAGATTACTTTTTGTGGAACACAGTAGACATTTGCTGATTGAAACTGCAGGGTCAGCCTTTTTGTCCACTTACAACACATACTTCAAGTTTGGGCTTTTGCAGATTGGAAAAATCTTGAGATTAAAATTGTTGCAAAATATTTTCCTTTGACTTAATGTTTTATTACACTCGGATTGCCTCAGATTTTTTTTCCTGCCTCTTAGTTTTTGTTGCATCATATTCTTGCAGTAACTATAATTAGATAATGCTTGCACTTGAATTTCTGGAGTTCTCTTCATGCCCCTGATTCTGAACCAAGACTGTGGCTTTGTCAAGTGTCCTTTGAGTCCCTGGGAGCAGAGTGACTTGCACAAGGATTTGCTCTCATGCAAAGCACCTCACTGATGATTTAGTACTCCCACACCTCTTGTTCACTTGTCCACATCCTCCCTCAAAAGTGAACTGGAAATCTAGAATAACAGCACTTTTGAAAGGGAAGTAATAGGAAATTAATAAAAATTACCTAGCACTGCAAAGCAACAAGGCTTTTTTTATCCTTATGATTTTAATTTATGAAGCACTGTTGGAGGAACTTGAGTATACTTTGCTTACTGGGTTTGGCTGCAATTATTTATTATTTAGCAGTTGGTGTGTTCCTAACTGCATACTGTGAGGTAGACACAAGGGTGTGTTTTGCCTGTACAATTCAAAAATTATTGATCCTTGTTTAGGTTTTGTGTGGGAAGAGGTGTGCAAGCTCTTCTTTGACTGAAAGAGTTCAGTTCTGTGCAACTGCTAGTACTGGCACAGAATAATAATAATAATAGCATAATAACAAAACATAATTTTTAAAACGGGTCCCTTACATCATTCCTCCAGGCGTAGTAGGTGCGAATATGGTACTTCTCCTCACAGGTCAGGAATAGTTTTCTGTGGAAAAGCAAGCATTAGAAAAAACATTTAAAAAGCCTGATTGCTAATGAAGCTCCTTTGGACTGCTGTGAGCAGGGTGCCTGTGTGTCTGTTCTGCTCGGTGCTGCTGCCAGGCCTGCTGGCTGTGCTCCAGGGCTGCTGACAGTTTGGGCTGTCCCGAGCCTATCGGAGGAGCGGATACACCGATGTTCCTCCTAAATGTAACCTACAGCAATGTGGGTGTTCCTGGCGTTGTTTCCCCACCCCCCAGTTCGCAGTTCTAGGTTCAGGCTGTGGTGGATGTGGTGGAGAGGCTGTCACAGCCGGGCACGGTGTAAAGCCAGGTGGGGAGAAGGCTGCTCACAACCCCGCAGGTGCACCGGGGCCGCGCAGTCTGCCAGAACAGGTAAAGTGCGGCTCGGAGAGCTTTGTTCCCACCCTTTTAAACCGAGAACATCCTAAACCTCGGCTGGGAGGGTAGGGGCCGAGTGGGGCTCAGAGGTGCAGGGGTTTGCTCGCTCAGCGGAGCCGGGCGTGCGGCGGGGTTCGGGGGCAGCCTCTGTCCGGCTCCTGCTGCTGCTCCGGGCCGCTGCCTCCGCAGCCCGGCGCGGGGTGGGACGGGGGCGATGGGGCCCGGGAGAGCCTTCCCGGGGCGGCGATGGGGGCCGGGAGAGCCCTGCTGGGGTGGGCTGGGGCTGGTTCCCAGCGGGCCGGGCGGTCCTGCCGGGGACACCCTGCTGTCCCATGTGCGGGGTGCGCGGGGATGCGGGGCCGGCTCCGAGCCCCTGCGCAGCCCGGGGCAGGGAGGAGGGACAGGAGGCACCCGAAAGGGCCGTTCCGCAGCCCAGGTCCTGTCCCGGCCGCTGTGCCTCTGGTCCCCCCGCAGGGAACGCCGAGCTCCGTGCGGGGATTGCCGCAGCTCGGCAGGAACGCGGCGCGAGTCTCTTCCATAAATAAACAGGGTGTTAGTAAAATAAAAATAATCCACACCACCCCGGAAACCAGACTCAGCCAGTGCTCTCGTGCTTTAATTACTTTGTTTCTAGCACTTTTGGGGTGTGGCCAGAGGAAAGAGCTGAGCCTGCCGGGGCTGGCTTTCCAACAGGTTGTGTCTCATGTCTGTAATAGACATCTTTCTGCAAAAGACACGGTAACAACTTGATCATGACTTAATAATCAAGGAAAAACTGGTACCTTTAATGTGTCTGGATACTTCATGAAAGGAATGAGAGTAGCCTCTGTTTATTTTGCACGGTAAAGATGAGGCATCAGTGTGAGATCAATTGTCCACACAATCAGATTTCCCCATTTATTCAGCAAGGGCTGTGCTGGACAGGCAGTGTGTGATCCCACTTCTCATCCATGTGTTGGGGTATGAACCATGTCATCTTCAGAGTGTGCTCGAGCCACGGGCAAAGTCAGTAGCATAAGCACTTCTGTCAGAATAAACTGCACAGTAAGTTTAGCAAAAGCTCTCAGGTCAGAAAAGTGCCTTTTATTCTGTAACTCGTGGGTCGTACAGGATCTGATTTACAGCATGCTGATTTTGACAGTACTTCATGTAAGCAGTGCTGCAAGATCAAGATCTCTTTATGGACAGGAGTCTTTGCTGTACAGGGGAAAAGAGCCTCTCAAAACTCCCTCGCTGCAGAACTGGGTGGAGGAGAACAAATAAACTGGTTTTGCAGAGTGTCTTCTGGAAATTTAATCCTGTTTATCCCTTGGAGAAAAACATTGTCAAAACTTTTAGACTGAAATTTGTGATATTTGTTTTAAGGAGAAGTTAAGTGTTTCCCCTGTTGTCTTCCTCCTCGCCCTTCAGTTTCAGATCCCACTGTGAGCTGCCCCCAAGCAATGCCTGGGGCTGGGCAGAGGGGATGTCTGGGGCTCCTAACAGAAGTTGCTTACTGCCTCCTAACATTGGCAAGAAGAAAAAAGTAAAATTTATTTATGGAAAACAAGCTGAGAGAGACTGAAAAAGGAGACAGGAAGATTGGTTCCCTCCCTCCCTACATCTGAATATCAGATGAGCACGGGGCAGTGAGCTCTCCTCAGCAAGCTGGGGCCATTCCTCAGCACTGACAGGAGGTTGCTTGGCTTGTTAAGAATATGTTTTAATAAATATGCAGTGTAATCTTTCCTGCTTTCTCCCTGATTAAAATGAGTGATATTTTGCAATGTTGAAAGACACGATGGGAAGGTACTTGTCAAGAGGAGCTTTTCTTCCCTTTACCTCCCTTTCCCATCTCTGGTGTCACTCCTCCAAACACACTACACATGGTCACAATCTTACTTAGCTTTGAGTAAGCTGCCATCATATTCATCATATATATATTTGACTCGTTATTGAGGTAGACATTGTTAAAATTCCCTATCTTAATGGCTGAGATGATAAAATGAAAATGTCCTTCACTCACCACCCCAACCCCCCAGCAAAGCTGCTAAGGTTGCTGCTGCTAATCCTGGGCTAATGCTGATGAGCAGCAGGTGATGATGAAGCTTTCTTTCAATTCCTGTTGCTGAGAGTCTGGCAGGGCTAATGGGTAAAGAATTCATCCTGCAGGTTAGTTGATTTAAACCCAAGATAAAACGAAGTTGGTGAAACGTCTTGACCTGTCAGTGTTTTGTGTGAAAACAATGTGAAATCCCCAGCACCTGTCACATCTGGCTGCAGGCAGAGGCCTGTCCAGCTCTGGGTGATGTGCACCCTGGAAATAGCTCCTAGGAAGAATGTCCTTGAGGCATGGCAGAAGAATGACCTTTCCTCTGTGGAATTTGCAGGGCTTGAGGCTCCTGGGGGACACACAGTGGGGCTTCCCCAGTGAAATCATGTTTTGTGTTGATCTCCCTTTACTTAGCCAAGCCTGGGATCTGTCCAGTCTGCTGAAGGGGGATGCTTGATGCACCTGGCACTGCAGGACAGGGTGATTGTGTCTGTAATCCCTGGTGGGGTGATGCCAGAGGGGATTTCTTAATCCTCTCTTCATCTTGTACCTGTGCAGGTAACTGAGCATGGCCTGCTTTAGGTATCTTGCCTTGTCTGATGTGAGGGATATATAATTTGCTGCAGAGACAAGTATTTCCTGAGAAAAATCCATCCATTTTCTGGAAAAACAGCTAATAGAGCTGGTTATCAAGAAGCACACTTACTTGTCTTTAACTACATAAAGAAAATCTGCTTGTGCAATGACAGGGGCAGAGACCCATCAGGAATCTGGTCTAGTGAGTGCTTTTAATCTGGAGAAAAAATAAATATCCATGTTTGAAATAGAAAGCCAAGAGCTCTACCAGATACATTTGGTCTAAATCTGGGCACGCT